CTGGCGGTGGGGCGTGCCTCAGTTTCCCGGAGGCGGGGCGCTTCTCCTCCCTCTCCTGTCCCTCCCCTCCCCTCCCCTTTCTTCTCGGGTTCCTCTTCGGGGAGCTGAAGGCCGTGCTTCGAGCTCCCGGAACTAACGCTGGGCGCCCGGCCAGCCACAGGCGGGGGCAAAAAAAGGCGCGCTGCTGGTGGCGCGACTGGAGGGGCCGCACGAGGCGCGGCTCCGCGCGGAGCTGGAGATGCTGCGGGAGCAGCTGCTGCGGCGCAGCCCGTGTTTGGCCGCCCCCGCTCTGGACGCCTTCGTGGAGCGAGTGCTGGCAGCCGGCCGGCTGGGGCGCGCAGCGCTCGCCAACGCTTCGGGGCCCGCCAACGCCTCGGACCCCGCCTGGGACTTTGCCTCTGCTCTCTTCTTTGCCAGCACACTGGTTACCACCGTGGGTAGGTGAGCGCCGCCCCAGTCCCTAAACTAGCGAGAACCCACCCCCAGGGGCACTCGGGAGCCCTCAGGAGGTAACCTTGTCCCACCAGATCACTCCAGTCCGTTCTGGGCCAGGGATCCCCTCAAAACCCCTGGAGGAAAATCCGGGATCCACAGTCGTGGGATCTGCCTCCCTCGGGAAGCCCCAGCCAAGCCTCTCCTCCCCGCAGGAACACACCCAGTTCTCCGGGACGAGGGCTGTACTCAGTACCTGCCAGGGAGCATCTGGGACATTCTTCCTCTGCCTCACCCCTTGGAGACATGACCCTTCCAGGCCCCTCTGGGCCTAGACTGCACTCAGAAACCTCCAGCGAGGACCTGGGACCCTGGGCCAGAGACCCTCACCCTCTCTGGACTCGGACCTCAGCCACCCAAGACTCTGGTCTCAGAATGCCACTCCCTCAAACAATGTCTCCTGACTGACCAGATAGATCTTTCCTGGAAGCCTTTCGGGAAGCCCTATCCCAACTCCTCCTGACTCTGGTGCCCAGAGAGAACCCTGAATCTCCAGACCCCCTCAGGGTGCCATCACGAAAGACCTTACTGCCAATAGAGATCCCTCAGCCAGGACCTGGGGCCTCCCTCTGAGAGGGCCCCTCCTCTGGATCGTGACCATTACCCTGAAAGGGGCCCTGCCTGCAGTAGCAGGTGACCTTTGCCTCTCTCATACTCATACTCCCCAGCAGGTAAGCCCTGACTCCAGATACAGGACCCCTCTCCATGTACCCCACTCCGTCTTGACATCTCCCTTGTATCGGGGAGCCCTCAATGCAGAGTTTTCTCCCAATAGAGACACTTTGGTTTTCTCTGGACCTGGAATTCCATTTTAGCAGCCCCTAACTATGGATGTATGAGAGACAACCATCGTGGAGGGAGCTAGATTATCCTCCAGAAGCCCCCCAGCCAGGACTCCCTCCCCTCCCATCTCAAAACTGGCTCTAGCAAAACCCCTTCTGCTTTCCAAACCAGGGTCTCCCCATGGGGGCCTCTCTGAACCTGAGAACCCCTCCTTGAGACTCATCACTACCAGCAAAAGCCCCAGAGCCACCTGGACCTTCTATCAGGGACACCAGTGCCCTCCACACACACTATCATTGAGAGCAGAATCCCCACCACACACACACACACCATCACACGATTCCAGCCCAGGAACTCTGCTCTCGGCACCTGCTCCCCCTGCTTAACCTGGATTTCCCAAGAAAGGGAATCTCCTAGGCTCTAGGAAACACTCCAATCTCTAGACCCGCAGCTGGGAACTCCCTGTTTAACACTGCCACAGCCTGCCTTGGACCAAGGATACTCCAGGCCCCCTATACCCCAGAGCCCCCCCCCCAGTGTCCAGTCAAAACCATTACCACTTTCCACCCTTGGACCCGAGACACCCACCCTGTCCCATCATCCCCTTAGCATTGTCTATGCTCATCATGTCCTCTCAGGCATCCTCAGGCTCATAATCCCCCTCCGCCTGAGGAATCCCCTCCCAGTCCCATTTGTAATCCAGAAAATGCCCCCACTGGGGCCTGTCACCTTTCCTCTGGACCCAGGATCCTTTTCAAACCAGAAACCAACCTCCTCAGGTAGGACCAACCCCCTCCCCCCAGCCCTACCCGGGATATCCCTTCCCACCTCAGCCCTTGCAGGCCTGGGAAATCCCTGTTGTCAAGGCTCTGCTGGTCCTTTCACATCCCCTCCCCAAAACTCCCTCTTCCTCTCTCTGCTTGGAATTTGGCCTGGGGGTGAGGAGAGATGGGGGCTGGGGCAGGCCTGGCAGACTCCTAACTCCTCTTCCCTGCCTGCAGTAGCAGGTGGCCTTTGCCTTTGGTGCCCCATTGTGTGGACCAGCAAACCAAGTCCATCGTTAGCAGAGCTGGATGCTCCTCTAATACTCTGTCCCACTGGCTGGGCCTGCCTGACCTGCTCCTGCGCTTCACTGGGTCACATGAGTGTCTCCATCAACCTCCTCCCAGATCCTGGCTTCTGAGAAGTTGTCCCAAGAGGACAGATGAAGAAGCCAAACTCAAGGCTTGCACAGCCTGGGTTCGGATTTCTGCTCAGCCCACTGCTCAACTCTAGGCCTCAGTGTCCTCCCACATCTGTAAAATGGGAATAATAACACTCCCCACTTCACAGTAATAATAAAACCTGGTGGAGGAGTTGCCATGTATGGGCTTTAACTCAATCAGCACAACAGCCTTGTAAAGCTGGTACCATTAGTGGCCCTATTTTTTAAAATAAATACACTGCATTTTTATTGATTTCAGGGAGAGGGAGAGAAAGACATCAATGATGGAGAGAATCACCAACTGGCTACCTCCCACACAGTCCCTTGGTGGGGGGCCGAGCCTGCAACCCAGGCACCTGCCACAACTGGAATTGAACCCTGACCTCCTGGTTTATGAGTAGACCCTCAATCACTGAGCCACATGGGCCGGGTCTGGCCCTATTTTTTTAGCAATAGAAACTGAGGCCCAGAGAAATTGGACAGCTTGTCCAAGGTCACACAACTAGGAAGGTGTCGAGTAGAAATTTGAACCAAGGCGATCAGGCCTTAGAGTCCCATGCTCTTAACCAATACACTGCACTACCTCTGAAGCCTGCATGAAGAGGAGTGATGTGTGTATACTGAAATGAAAAATTACTCAGGTACTTGTTAAAAATGGTAAGTTGTTGCAATAAGGGAGCGAGACTGAACTCAATTCTGAATATAACAAAGATAGGTGGAGATAGAGAGCAGAGTGAGGGGATCAGTGGATGGGAAATTATTGAGAGAGAGGGGATTCTTATTTACTGGCTTAATGGGATTGTTGCAAAAGGCCAAGACCTCAGCTCTCAAAGGTGGAGAATAAGGAATGTGACCAGATATCAAGAGTGGAGGAATTCTCCCTAAACTGACAGCATTCTTGCTAAAACGGCCTAGTCAAGAGGAGCCTAACTAAAGTTTGCTCAGGAGGAAGTCTTTGTAAGTTTGAAGGGTTGGGGATAATAACAGGTTTTCTGTGCCTCAGTTTTCATTGTTATTGGTGGGAAAGCCTGGAGCTCTGAATGTGTCTGAGAAATGAAAAGCCAAGTCTTTCAGAAAGACTTCTTCCACGGCACCTCTGGTCTTGTCAGGCCCGAGCCCTCTGAGAAAGGCCTGGGACCTGGAATTGATCCAGGCAGACTTGCTCCAGTTGAGGCCAGAGATGGCGGGGTCAGCACCCCGGAAGTGAGCATGACTGCCATGGTAACTCTTTTTATGTCTTGCTAGATGCTATGCAATCCACCCTGGTAGGGTTATTACTATTGCATTTGAAGAAGACATTTTTTTATGAGCCCATTTTGCAGGACTCTGAGGAAAGTCATTGGGCCAAGGTCATGTAGGGAATAAATGGCAAAAAACTGATTTGAACTTTGCTCTTTGAGGTAGCAAGTTGAGACTCAGATTATTTGCATTCCTTCCATTTCAGCTGACTGCTGGAGTTTCTCCATTAAAACCTTTGTATTAGTGAGGGTTGGAGCCATAAATGAAAAACCTCAAATAATAGCTGCGTAAATAAGATGGAAATCTATTTCTGGAATGATGCTGCATGGTCAGAGCGCCTCCATAACTCTCGGTGCAGGGTTTCCATCCCGAGTTCACGTCATGGTCCAAGGTGGCTGCTCAGCTCCTGCCTTTCTGTCTGTATTTCAGCCAGTGGAAAGAAAGAAGAAAGAAGGGGATAGGCATCTCCCTTTCTTTTATGGCTGTGTGTGTGTGTGTGTGTGTGTGTGTCTTTTCTTTGTTGTTGTTAAT